TAGATCAGCGGATATAAAGTTACCTTCATAAACATCTCTTTAGTTTTTAGATATCACAAAACAATATGGATTCTTTTATGGAGTAAAAGAATTGAAACGTTTTTCTTTTACACTGAAGGGATCCTGGATTAGTGACAATAGTCTGTGAGAAGTACTCATTGTCAGGGTTAATACAGTAAAAAGAACATAACATGTTTATTTTTTCTACATTAGAAAAATATAATCAACACATTATCAATGTATTCTGGGTAAGTGACATATGCTAGGTCCCGTAGCTTAAACGGCAACGAGTAACGTTAATCTTTTCAGTTCAAAAACAATCCGCTTGACTTTGTTTCCAAGTTTGAAGACGTTTTGCTTCCCATCCAGGAAGCTTTTTCAGTTCAAATTGTCAGACTTTATACAGTAGCCCAAAAACAAAGCCTTGTTATGGCTTAGAAATGTGTAAGTTGAACCTGACGAGCAGGTCCGTCCCTTTGGAATGGCCTCCTCTGGACTGTACATCTACACCTTATGGACCAAAGACATTCAGTGAGGAGCAGAATGTTCACATTTTGGACCAAGAAGACAGGAGGTTAGAGAGGGACGTGGGCGAAGCCATCTATGTTAAGAAAAACCAACTTTAAACAGAGGGAGTGGACTCAGATTCCAGCTTCTAAAAACCTACAATGCAACAATTGACTTGATCCCTTCACTTTATTATGGCAGTGCAAACCTTTTTACAAGGGAACAGAAGACTCCGCCTCTTCAGCCCGGCCAACAATTCCCTTTAACGACCCCCCTTTCAGAGACATAGACAGGTTTCAGGTATTACAGGCTAACAAAGAAGCCAAACGAACCACATTCCTAAGGGGTGGACCCGTTCGTCAAGTTCAATTTACATGTTTTCTAAAGAGAACCAAGGCTTTGTTTTTGGTCCACTCTATAGAACCTAGAACTCAACGCTATTTCTGACATTTTGAATTGAAAAAGCTTCCTGGATGGGAAGCAAAACGTCTTCAAACTTGGAAACAAAGTCCAGTGGATTGTTTTTTAACTTTTTTGACTTCTATGAACTGGATGACTGAGAATCTTCACCAGCAGAAATCTTTTCAGTTCAAACTGAATTAACAATAAAAATATATTTTTTAAAAGGATATTTTCTGTTTTTATATTATTTTATTAAAATGGAATTTTAATGCATTTTTATTGTTGGTTTTAAATTAAAAAACATTAACGGCACACAGATTAAAGGAAAAGTTGTCTGTGAGGAGGGATGAATTCAGCTGAACAGGAAATCCTACCGTCAGTCCGGTTTTGGACACGCCATATGCAGTCTCAGGCCAGCCGTCCTGCTTGTGCTCGTCTTTTTTGGCTTTCTCCACGAATCGCTGCATGAGTCCCACCAGCTCGTCCTCTGTGAGGTCCTCGCTGCGGAAACGCTGCTGGAGCTCTGGGCTGCAGTTGTTCAAAGTACGAGAGCCGACAAAGCTGGAAACGTTCACCACTCGGCCTGAGAAACAGAGAAGACGGCGTCTCAGGAGGGGAACCAACATGTCTGCCGCAAATAAA